TCTCTCTCTCTCTCTCTCTCTCTCTCTCTCTCCTCTTCTCTCACTTCAAAAGTACTTTAATTTAACAAAACTTTTAGTGAAAAATACTTATAAACCAATACTTTGATTATTTTCTCCATTACAAGTAGTCTCTCGTTTACGACACAAAACTATGATTTTAAGCATTAATATACGAATCCATTCATTCAGGTCTACGAATTGGAGCGAAGATTCAAACAACAGAGATATCTATCAGCGCCTGAAAGGGAACATTTGGCTTCACTCATACAATTGACTCCAACACAGGTATGTCTTATCGATAATTTGTGTTTGCATTTCATTCAAAAACAAATTCTTTCAAATCTTTGCCTATTTTTAGTTAAATATTTGCCTAAAAAATAGTATTCAAAAATTCTTGTCTTAATTAGATTTGTTTCCGAAAATTTTTATATAGTATTTCATTGAAGAATTTATTTAATTTTTTATGTTTCCTTTTACGTCAAACTCTAAATCTGAATGCATTTCATGAATAGAAAACTAAACAGTTTTTACAACTGTTATACTATATATTTTAAAAAAAACTTTTAAACTAGAGTTAAACTAATGTTTTGTGCCATCATTTGTCTCACTGCAGGTGAAGATCTGGTTTCAGGTATGCCTACAGAGAGTCTCTCTCTTTTATTCACTATAGCCTTGTGTTTGCAATCGCGAGGAATACCTCATGAGATCGCAAATGCACTCATAATTGAAAAGTAAATGTTAAAAGACTTTTGTGCTGTTTTTTTATGAATCGTGTTTTTGGTGGTTATGTTTTGTTGTGGAATACGTGTTGCGATCGACAGAATCATCGCTACAAATGTAAACGACAGGCGAAGGAGAAGGCGATGAGCGACGCCTCGCCGACACCACCGCAAAACACGGCCACCACTGGAAGTGTCAATCAAACCAGTAATACATCAAACAATTCATCGAGTCATGCATACGGTTCCTCTCCTCGCAAAGTAGCCGTTCCTGTGCTCGTCAAGGATGGCAAGTCTCTTATGTGAGTGTCCATCACTTTTCTCTATGAAAAACACACATATTATCTGCTTTTTTATGTTTCCTCACACATCACAAAACAGACAACAAAAACCATTTAACCATTTTTTATATTTCATTCAATCAGTGTTTATACATCTCGTTTTTTCTCGATCTAATCCACAAACAGTTTTAGGCTATCATTACGTCGATTACCTCTTTTGAAAAGCAATCCTCGCTATTAGTTATGATGTTTTATAATCCAAACAAATTATAGATAAATGTTTTGATTTTTAATATACAAACCATATTTTCAAAGAGTTTTGTGTGTTTATTAGAGTTGAAGAAAATTCAATACATTTAATGAATTTCACGTTATATTAGCTATAATTTGAATTTTTATTTCCCAAAAAACAACAATAAATCCTATGGTTTACTATTTATTTGATTTGTGTTTTGTTTATCAAATCAATCAAATAATTGTAAACTATTTTGTATATTAAAAGAATAGATTTAAAGAAATGGTTAGAAAAACAAAGTCTAATTCAAGGATAAAAATTCATATGCTTTTCATTGCCTACTATTTGTAGAAAATTGTATTCTTTTCCCATTTTAAGGTCACTATTGAATGAATGGCTGAGAAATAGTCGTCGAAAAAAATTAAATAAATATTAAACTTTTTATAAATTACCAAAAAATGGATTACAAATTGTATGGAAAATACTTTACTATTGAATAGAAAATATATTTCAGACAATTGTGAGGAAAATATTTTGTCGATTTAGTCATTAAATAAAATGCTATTTTTAAAAGATTACAAAAAAGTTAGATTTAAATTAAGACCAGAATATTTGTTTGAAATAAAATTAATTGGTTTTTGTTTTCTGTCCTTTTGTTTGCTCTCTTGTCTCCTATCTGTCACACTCTTGATTCCTGACCCAAACCTACCAGTCCTTCGGCATCAGCTAACTCTCCCCCAACCGATCATAGCTCACATCACGACAACTCAATGCTGATGGCCTCGCAGGCGATGTCGCCGGCGAGTGTGGCCTCAGCCGCGGCCGCCGCCGCCACTCACCATCACTACCACCACTTCGGCGCTCACAGTAATAACGGGCCAACAGTGGGCGTCGGCCCCACATTCGGCAACCCATTCGCCGCCGCCAACACATTCTCGCTGTCCGCACATCAGGAGCCGCACCACGACTTCCTATTGAGAACATCGGTATCGCACTGGTAGGCAGTGGTAGGCAATGGTATGCATTCATTCATACATTTCTCCAATCCATTCCCTTATATTAATTTTTTTGTTAAATATTTTGTGTATTTATTTTGTTGTTACTTTCCATTGATTTCGATATACAGTGACACTAATGTTGAATAATATTAATTACATTCTTATGCATACTATTTGTATGTATACTGTATATCAATCTCATGTATAAAAATTAATTAACCATTTTTTATTTCGTATGATTTTTAATACAAGTTTTACTGTATTTAAAAAACAATTAATATTAATAAGTAATTGAATTTATGTTTTAAGATAGCGTTAAGAGTACAACACATGTAATCTATGCGTTGAATTTGATTATTATAATCATTTTCAATGCGTTTACAGTATATGACATTAAACTAATGTAAAATGATTATAAACATGATCTTAATATTATTGTCTATAAATTATATGGAAATATTAGAAATACATAACAATTAGTGAAATTTTGAGCTTTTTATTAATTACAATTTTTACTCAGTTTTACCTCATTTTTGTTTCACAAACTGTTTAACAAACAATTGTACAAAAAGAATATTAATATTAATAAAAATTAAAAATTGAGATTAAAACAAAGTTATTATTATTTATACTAATAATTAATTTCAATAGAAATAAATTAAACTATAAAATGCTTAAATTATAACTTATATACAAAGTAATAATTAATTAATTAATGGCATAATGAATGCCTAACTGTAGTGTTAAGCATAACTACAATCGTATAACTAATTAGTGATTGGTATTCAAGAATCTTAATTACTGGCAGACAGTGAAGGAAAAGTTATTATTAGTTTTTATTGAGTGATTAGTAATGAATGACTACAATAGGGAGAGAAAATTGAAGAAATGGTTAAATAAACTGACAATTTATTTACACAGAGAGTAGCCATTTGTTTACATTGAGATTCTGTAGGCATAAGGAAAAGTATTTCGCTATCAAAACATTTACTTATAGTTTTTGTGCTCAACAATAGAGAGAAGAGAAGACGAAAATGCAATCAAAAAATAAAATAAAGAAATATTTCTCGCTCTCGTGTGAGGCCGGGCCTCACCTCTCAATATATGGTTTATTATATTTTCGTTGATTAGCTTTTAAAGTATAAGTTTTTCAGTAAATCTTGAGTTTAAATTTGATTAAAACGTATGAGAACTCGAGGCTTAAGAAATACGGATCAATTGTTTTCGTTGGGATATGTATTGCTATTTGTTATCGCACTTCAATATAACGGCATTTATTAGTTTTTTGGTTTATTATTTTGCGTGAGAATAGGTATCCTATTGTTGTACTTTATTTTTAGTTATCCAATGATTGGATCAATTTTTATATAAAATTATACGAAAACCTATCAATAATTTACATAATTTTTACGGAATTTATTTAAAGTTTGAATAAAAATCAAATTTTTCTCACAAACTTATCGCACAGTTATAGGCATTAAATATTTGAGTTTACTCTTCATTTAGGATATTCTGTTAACTGTATTAATACAGTTCATCGCACAGACACTACAAATATTCTTACAGTTAGCGTTTATATCAGTGTTTTGCTTATGTATATGTATTTATGAATATATTGTCCGCGAATAGTATGTGAAAAAATATGAGATAAAAGACTACCTGAATAGAGAAAAGTGAGTGATTTGTAAAATTGCAAACTTCCTCATTATCGTATGAGAACTCGAGGCTTAAGAAATACGGATCAATTGTTTTCGTTGGGATATGTATTGCTATTTGTTATCGCACTTCAATATAACGGCATTTATTAGTTTTTTGGTTTATTATTTTGCGTGAGAAAAGCTCTCCTATTGTTGTACTTTATTTTTAGTTATCCAATGATTGGATCAATTTTTATATAAAATCATACGAAAACCTATCAATAATTTACATAATTTTTACGGAATTTATTTAAAGTTTGAATTAAAATCAAATTTTTCTCACAAACCTATCGTACAGTTATAGGCATTAAATATTTGAGTTTACTCTTCATTTAGGATATTCTGTTAACTGTATTAATACAGTTCATCGCACAGACACTACAAATATTCTTACAGTTAGCGTTTATATCGGTGTTTTGCTTATGTATATGTATTTATGAATATATTGTCCGCGAATAGTATGTGAAAAAATATGAGATAAAAGACTACCTGAATAGAGAAAAGTGAGTGATTTGTAAAATTGCAAACTTCCTCATTATGTGTTTTGCTTATGTATATGTATTTATGAATATATTGTCCGCGAATAGTATGTGAAAAAATATGAGATAAAAGACTACCTGAATAGAGAAAAGTGAGTGATTTGTAAAATTGCAAACTTCCTCATTAATAGACCACAATAGCAGAGAGACTGAAGTTTTACAGCAAAACTTTACATAAAGAAAGCAAACGAAGCGAACAAATGAGAGCCGAAAAAACATACTCTTTCTCTGCGGAGAAATCTGTGGTTTGAATTTGAAGGCAAAAAAGTGTAAAAACTATTTTATATGTCATTATTATTATTAAATAATAAAATAGAGAGTGAAAGCCGAGCTCTCTCTCTCTCTCTCTCTCTCTCTCTCTCTCTCTCTCTCAAAATTATTGGTTTTGAAATGAAATAAACTTATGATCCGATGCTTTCAAATAGATGTTTAATATATAATCTTTACTTAGCGAAATAATTATGTTATGATTTACGTATAAGAAAACCGGTGTTTTGCGTACATATCTGTCTTATACTCGCGTATTCACTAGCGTACTAAACGAAATTTTCCGCTACTTTATTTTTTATTGAAATAAAATAATGAAAAAAGTGAAATTCAATTCATAACCAAATAATTCATAGTTATTGCACACCAATACATAATAGTTATGCATTATATTTATATTATTAAACAACATAACACATATACCCTGTCTAATAGTATAATAGACTGCATGTAAACTATATAATACACTGTATAGTGAATTATATATTAAGTTAGGTGTGGGAACAGACAATTGGTGAGGTCTTTATTTGGGTAAATGCAATGTAAACCCAATGGAGCGGCAAATATATTGAGAAATTCATGAGACCGGGGAAAGAGAGGCAAAGGGAGGACCACTGGTTGACAGAGAAAGGAGAGTAAAAAAAAGTCTCGCAAACAGTGCTTTACATAACCGACACTTGTGTATATATTAGAAATGAATCGCTTTATTAATACAATACTAAATGCATATTCTTTTGGCCACAAAACGCATGTATAGACAGAATATGAGCGCATAAGTGATCGCATGATTTGCTTTAAAAGGCGATGAAATTTTTTTATTGAAATACAATAATGAAAAAAGTGAAATTCAATTCATAACCAAATAATTCATAGTTATTGCACACCAATACATAATAGTTATGCATTATATTTATATTATTAAACAACATAACACATATACACTGCTTAATAGTATAATAGATTGCATGTAAACTATATAATACACTGTATAGTGAATTATATATTAAGTTAGGTGTGGGAACAGACAATTGGTGAGGTCTTTATTTGGGTAAATGCAATGTAAATGCAATGAAGCGGCAAATATATTGAGAAATTCATGAGACCGGGGAAAGAGAGGCAAAGGGAGGACCACTGGTTGACAGAGAAAGGAGAGTAAAAAAAAGTCTCGCAAACAGTGCTTTACATAACCGACACTTGTGTTGGAGATGCGGTGCAAAAATAGCTGAACATATTCTGGTGAAAGACTTCCCGTATATCTCTACCAATGCATACATACATAGCGTAACAATTGATAAATTCAGTGCAAAAATTATTCAATAAAATATATTTACTTTCACTTTACACTCACTCTATCACACTCTCGGTTACTCTCTCGACAACTTTGCACTTAATTTGTTGCACTTCAATGGCAACAGTGTTTCGCATGCGGTGGTCAACAGTGATGGGAGGGGTGGGCAAACACACACACATTCATACATACTGTACACCACACATGTGTGCCGTGAAAGCCAAAGGTGAGACCCAAACCATTACTTATTTTCTCACTTTTTTCAAACATATTCACAATATATGTGTTGAAGTTTAACATGAGTTTTATTGAAGGGCATGTCGTTATATTCTGGGCCCACAGTTATGTGGCCTATGCTTATGGTCTGAAGAGTGCACGTGTGTGTGCGCTATGTATGGCTCAAGTAAAACCAATTCATTGAATCTTTAAATAGAGATCCATTGAGTCATATAAATGGAGTGATTGGGAGTTTGGGTGTCAAATACGTGGATATATTTGCAAAGCTATTAGTGTTGGGGCTGTTGAGGAACAGTGAGCGGCCAGACCTCAACCTAACACTACTGTCACTGATGTGCTAAGAGCTGGTCGTTTGAGTGATGTGTGTGTGTGTGAGGCCAGAGAGAGAGAGAGAGAGAGAGAGAGAGTGTAAAGTGAAAATAAATATATTTTATTGAATAATTTTTGCACTGAATTTATCAATTAGAGAGAGAGAGAGAGAGAGAGAGAGAGAGAGAGATGTGATGAATAGAGCTCTCTTTAATGAATTTGTCACTTTCTGATGCCTTTTCTACCATTCAATTGATATGAATATAGCATTTAGTGCTCTATTCTATCAAAAACACTCGCTTTTTCAGTCAACAACTGATTGGCTATCGATTGAAATGTCTTTACAGTATATGTGATAATCAAATAGAAAGTTATTCTCATTTATATTTACATAAAATTCTTTTACTAGAAATTCAACACCAATTCATTCCCCGATAAATAGATTTCCAAATATATTGAATGAAAGGCAATACATATTGAAAAATATATATAAATTAAATTTGTTTTGTGAGACAAATATTGATGTATTTTTTCTTGTGGTTATGATATGGATGTGTTTGAAAGTGTTTTGGTATGAATAGAGTGGTGTCGCAGACAATGATGTGATGGAAACAAATAAAAGATGGGATTCATTGCAGTCAATGGATACAAGAATTTTTTTCTGGTGGACGCTTTGATGAACAGAATATATCGTCAAATGTTTTTCTTTCACTTTAGTCGTCAATTGCAGAGCAGAAGCGATGTGTGGAAAGCGATGCACAGCTATCGCAG